AACTTACGTATCATTTTGTTTTTACATTTCTATTTTGTTTTTTTGCGATTGTATTCTTTTTCGATTTATATTCTTTCTTTATAGACAATTTCATGCTTTATTTCCATGGTCATGCGTTTCTTCTCACTACCATCCTTACCACTCACTTCCTTAGGACTCACTATTATGAAGAATAATGCACAAAAAAGAGAGAAAATCACGTAGATAACGCAAACACAAAACGCAAGGCGTGAACGTGTGAGGCGGCGTGGGCTGCTCAGCCACCTAGCATTGATGTCTGTAATCGTGTTCATATTTCAAATCTTTACTTGTCTCTAAGTAAAATGTATGTATGTATCAAAGCAAAAATTTGCTCGAAGGCTTACTCGAGTCTCGGAATACTCGTATGTCGGGACGCTCGTATTTCAAGGTTCCACTGTGTAAGGAGTAGGCTGGTCATACCATGACACTACAAACTGTGGTACATTAGGTGGCGGTATGCGCCTAAAAACATGGTTGTGACCTGCTATTGATTCTCAACGTCAGGTCCCTATTTAGCGATTTAGTGAAATTTGGATGTTCAAACAGAAGAAAATACAAGTTACATACAAGGCTGATGTTTCTTTACATATTTTCTAGCATTTAGTGAAATTTGGATGTTCAAACAGAAGAAAATACAAGTTACATACAAGGCTGATGTTTCTTTACATATTTTCTAGCATTATCTGTGGGTTTCCAAAGGCGGTCCCGAGCTAGAAGCTAATGCTGTTTGGGGGGCCTTGGCATTTGTAAAATGTAAAAAAATATGATTACAAGCACCTTTTCTGTAACTTCATCAATAATAATCTGTTTGATAAACACATCACAAAATTTAAAAAATCACACTTTAATGAAGTCACACTCAACCATTACATCTGCAGCTGTTCAAAAAAAAAACACTCAACCATTACATCTGCAGCTGTTGCCATTGCTACTGTTGCTGCTGATGCTTCCGCTCCTGTTGTTGCCTCCACTGCTGTTGCTGCAGTAACAGCAGCAAACTAAAATAATCCTTACCATAATGTTTCAACAGATGCGTCTAATGACATCTATACACTCACCTGCGGGAGATCAGGTGTTGAGAGGAGATGCTGCTCGTGTCTCAAGGCAGGTTTTTCGAAGCTGAGTTGTATTTGTTGTAAGGAGTACACACCTTGTTCATTATTCCAGCAGCTCCAGGTAGTGTCAGCTTTTGTTTTTTTTTTTTTTGTTTTTTTCCCCGTAGTCTCTAAGCTTTTCCTCAATTACCGTGTGGAGTTGATTCAGGCTGAAAGACGACCCACAGCCACTACAGGAATGATCCAATTAATTTTAATATATTGGCAGGAGGCTGACAGTCCACCAGGGGGAACAGAGTGAAATCCAATACATTAGCTCAAGCCCAAAAAATTGCCCTTTTTTGTTAAATTTATGCTTTTTCAACTTTTTCAATGTGACCTTTGTTCCATTCTTTTCTTTACTACAAGTCAAGACCTGCTGTTGTTCTTTATCCCGGTGTTGCTCATTAAATCCATTCTATTTAGCTTCAAACAAACTTTTTTAACATAAATGTCACATCAGTGTTACATTTATAAATCCGCAAAGGAAGTCTGGGTCCGAAAGAAAACATAGACAAAGAAGTTCTACTGCTTCCGTCCGTGTGTCGTGTCACTGAACGAAGAATTGCTAACACTAGAGTCACAGGATAACAAATGTAAAAGGTACAGAACAGGAGGGATGACAGTGTAATCCAATGATATTTGATGTGAGTATGTGTGTGTAAATGTATATATATATTTATATATACATATATATGTGTGTGTGTGTGTATATATATACATATATATATGTGTGTATATATGTATATGTATGTATATATGTATATATATATACATACATATACATATATATACACAAAGGAAACAGATAAAATCTATAAATATATACATTAAAACAAATAATATAAAAAAACACACCAAGAAATCTACAAATAAATTAATAATGGGGGAAAAATCATTTATTTAGACCAAAATATATTCATCTTTTCTGTTTATATATTCTTTCTGATCTTTAGAAAGGGTGCAAATGCACAAATCATTCAGGATGAAGAGCGATAAAAGAGTTTACAATGTGTAAAAATAATTTGAATGACTAATTTAATAGCCATTTGTAACATTGAGACAGTTTGGAGTATTTTATTTTTTTTTTTGGTTTTGTTTTGTTTTTAACTCATTTCTCTCAATTGAATTTCCATTTCCAGACTACAGTCGGCTCTATTTAGGAGTCAGGAAATAAAAGCTGTAAAATGAATATTTAATTTTGTTCAAGTGTAGTTACTGTGTGCCATTGGGGGGACACTGGAAACAATGGGCTATTGGACATGAGCTGTGACACTCTATTATTATTTTTAATTGAATTGAGCCAACAGAGACAAACTGCAGGCCTGACAGAAGCAATTTTAAAACAACATAATTACATCACATATAATTAGAGCTTTTCACCTCAAAGTGACAGCCGGAGCCATTTTCATATTCCCATAAAATAAATGCTTATAATACCATGTGTTAGGCCCGAGATTGTACGTATTTATTAGTTTGATTTTTTTTCGTAAAACCGCAGACTCTGGAAAATCATTAATGTGACAGTCAGCTGAACAGTTGTGATGGTGAGAGAATTCAAACTGCATCTGAATAAAGACACAAACTGCACCTAACTTGCTGCTACATTTATTAAGGAGAATGTACTTGTGTGCAATTGTGACTCAAACAAACTAAACGTCATGATTAGAAGAAGAAATCATGACATTGTGACACAGCACACCACTGCAGGACAGTGGCAACTTGGCAACTTGTGGACTTGAACCTAAAACATTCCGGACTCCAAGTCTGCTTCCTTAACCACTTGAACCAAGGTTCTCCGACCTGGTAGCAGAGAAGCTAACTGCTAATGAACATGACTGTGTCCGTCAATGATATCTGCACTTTCTAACTTTCTTTTGTCATTTATGTCATTATCTTCTCTGTGGGGAAATGAGAGATTGATAGTAGGGATGGCTCAGTCCGACACTCCGGAACAGTATCGGTCCCAATTTGGTCAAAGTTTCAGGATTGGACAAAAAAACCAACCATAGCCACTCCAATTTTGTAATATGTCATAAACAAGGACGCTAGCGCCACAGCTACAGCTGCCGTGGCAGAAAAGAAGGTGTGAAATATATTTCGATATCGGCAGATACTTCAAGTTGCAGTATCGGTATTAGACATGAAAAAGTTGTATCGCGCCATCCTTAATTCCTACTGTATGTTCTGAGGGTGGTGTTTCTTCTAGAAGTCTCTGTTGTGAGTCTATTTCTATTTCTATCTTTTTGTTAAGTGTGTACTTCTGTAGTGAAAACCTATTTAGTACAGGTAAAAAGTCCCACCCACGGTGGTTCACATCTGTATCAATGCTTGATTTATTGTTCCTGATGATGGATAGCCACTTCTTCCCGGTTGACATGTATTTCCTTGATTCCTTATTTGCCGAGTGCGCACACTTTCACGTGCACGCTTCACCACTTCATTAACTTTTAATTTCCCATCTGAGTAAATCAGAGGACAGCAGCTAATAAAAAAGCATTGTTGAAGGTTTGACAGAGACGTAGCGCTCACGGACTCAGCGCAGTCATTACTGTTCATGCCAAACAATATCCAGTCACCGTGATAGACATCAACTCTTTGTTCAGTTGTAGACAGATCCGACTGTATGGATGCAGGTCTTGTTCAAACCATGAAGCCAATTTGACAACGTTAGATTGAGCAAAGACATGTAAACTAATATATCTAAAACTCACCTGGAAAAATATGATGAAATAAATACTTGCTGAGGAAATAATGATTAAATTAAAAAGTCATTAGTTTTCAGAAACCTTTGAAATCCAAGAGTGTTTACAAAACATTTGGACCTAAGGTTTGAAGTCAGTTTCTCTTCACGCATGGAAACTTCATCAGAATTAGGTTATATTGTGTATTATATATTGTGTATATGCAAATGTATTTCATTTTATCATTTATGCAATGAATTTGATTTAAGTGCTGAAAATTTTTGGGAGGGTACAGTGTTCCCTCTTAGTGCTGAAAAAAATCTGCATTTTTGGGAGGGTACAGTGTTCCCTCTATATCGCGGCTCTACCTTTCACTCCCTCAGTACATCGCAGATTTTTTTTTTTAATCCGATCTCGCAGAATATTTGCTATATCGCAAAAAAATATTTATACATACAAAAGTGGCTTTAAAAATGTGGATTTTGAAATATCTCATTTTGCAATTGAGATAAGCGCATTTGAGAATGATCGCTAGTAGCTTTGTTTACTACCTAGACAAGATCGTACACAGCACACTATTGGCTAATACAATGAGTACTCGATGCACTATTGGCTAATTGAGCATGCTCTTCTGTTCCTCCTCCCTGATTGGCTCATGCATTGTAGCATCTCTCAGCACCTCCCCTTGTCTGTCGGCTCCTCTTTCGTTCACTTCTCTCTGCGTTGGCATTCTACAACTCTACTCTGCATATAATGCTCCTCTTTTGTTCACTTCGCTCTACGTTGCCATTCTACAACTCTACTCTGCATATAATTGTGTGGGAAAGGGTAATACAGTCTAGGGTTGATAACAGTGTGGGGTAGGTTTGAAAAGGGTAAATACATACGTAAATAATAACTATCTTGCCTCTTCTTCGTGATTTTTCACATTTCGTGGTGGAACGCAACTGTCGTGATAGGAGAGGGATCACTGTACTTGCCTGTTGTGTCGCATTTTCCTTTTAAGCAACATCTGCTTATATCCCATTAAGAAATTGAAGATTTTAAAAAAGACATTTCTGAATCCTGTGTGTCCAGATTGATTCATCTGTAAAATGACAATATGCTTAAGACTGCGTGAAAGATATTAATGGCATTAAGTTCCATTTTGTACTTTGTATAAATCAGCACTTTGTCTTTCTGTTTTTCTCTCTCGTCTCAGAGCTGATAGATGGGACTCCCACACTGAAAATCAACCACGGCTCTGGCACTGTGGTGCTTCAGTTACCAAGCAACGTGAACGTGGCAGACCGGCGCTGGCATCGGCTGGACATCCGCAGCAACAGCAAGGTTTCTAAGCTTTGGTCTGTTCTGAAACTGCAAGTAGTTTCACACTGGGGCGAATAAAACGCACCATTTATGGCTTTGGATTCACGGTGGCCATCTACAGTAAGAGAGAACAGTTAGAGAACTGAGTTCATTTGGGTTACTTTTGCTCTCTTCTCCTACTGTGTTTTCCTAAAGGAGGTGCGTTTCACTTTGGATCGCTGCTCTGGAGCGGCAGTGATGGAAATGGAAGGTCTGGGAACATGGTTGACCACCGAGGATCACTCTTCCTGTGAGGTGACAGGCGTCACACCCAACACTGACAGGTACATAAACACGAGAACGCTGCCAGGGAAGGGTGCCGTACTCAGCACGGTACACTCGCACTTTAAGGAGCAAACATGTTTAAGCAGGAATATGAATGAATGCCTAGAGCAGTACTTCTCAAATAATGGTTTGTACAGATAAGAAAATACATATGATCAGGTTCTAAATAGTAATTGAATTAAGGAAGGGGTGGGGGAGGGGTCTGTCCCCTAGTGGCGGCATGACAGAAAATAATTGAGTACCACTGGCCTACAATGAGTGCACCCTCACTACTGTGATTTGAACATAGTTATAGAGAACTTAGTTCATTTGGGTTGCTTATGCTCTCTTCTCTACACTGCGTTTTCCCAAAGGAGGTGCGTTTCACTCTGGATCGCTGCTCTGGAGCGGCAGTGATGGAAATGGAAGGTTTGGGAACATGGTTGACCACTGAGGATCACTCTTCCTGTGAGGTGACAGGCGTCACACCCAACACTGACAGGTACATAAACACGAGAACGCTGCCAGGGAAGTGTGCCGTACTCAGCACGGTACACTTGCACGAAGGAGCAAACGTGTTTAGGCAGGAATATGAATGAATGCCTAGAGCAGTACTTCTCAAATAATGGTTTGAAGAGAGAAGAAAATACATATGATCAGGTTCTAAATAGTAATTGAATTAAGGAAGGGGTGGGTTAGGGGTCTAACGGCATGACGGCATGACAGAAAATAATTAAGTACCACTGGCCTACAATGAGTGCGCCCTCACTACTGTGATTTGAACATAGTTGATTGATCATAGCCAGTTTGGATTTTAATATCAAAGTGAAAAAAAAAATACATATTTTATTTGGCTTCAAAAAAGCTTTAAATATTACAACTGAAAAAAAAAACCCTTATTGATCTTTTCAAACACAACCAGTGGTTCCAAAACTTTCTCGGATGGGCCTTCCATTAGCAGAACACACACACACATACACAGTTTATGCCACAGATTTTAAATGTAGCTGTTTTTATTCACCCTAACAGTGTAATTATGTCAATGTCAAGTGTAACATTTTCTCTTTCAACATCCAACATTGCTTTTAGTCATGCAATTCTTTTTAGTTTTTTTTTTTTTCCAAATATTGCTACTGCAAAAAAGTGTTCTAAAAAGTGACTTACTCCCTTTGTTTTGCAAAGATGACACATTTATTCTTTTAAACAATATGCGTTTCACTCATTTATTCCATCCGCACCTCTTCCTCGCAATGGCACTGAGCCCCCCCCCAGGGGCCGCGCCCCACACTTTGGGAACCTCTGCATTATACCAACAATTCTAATCATCTTTGACTGTTTGATTTATGGTATGTTTGTTTGTTCTATCTGTCTCTCTCTCTCTCTGTGTGTTTTAGACACCTGAACATGAGCCAGGTTCTGCAGCTCGGTGGCGTGAATGAGGACATTCCCTACATTTACCCTCAGCTCCAGCACAAACACTTCACTGGCTGCATTCGCAACCTGGTGGTGGACAGCAAGGTGGCGTACACACACACAAATACAGGCGCGCACCCACCCATACACACCTCACACCCATACCTGCACTCCAGCTGATAAATGGTTTAATAAGAGTAGAGAACGTTCACAGTTCCCTGGTGCTGTGTTGGAGATGTTAACTGTAACCTCAAAGCACTTCGAGACAGAATGCACTGTAACCTGCACTGTCATGCTGAAATTTCTCCCCTGCTGCTGAGACACGGCGGCACATCCAGACTTTAAAGCGAGTCCCCCCCCCTGCACCCCAGCAGGACTCAGAGATGAAGGAAGCAGAAGAAAATCCAGATCAACTCTGTAGGAAACACAAGTCTAACGCACAGAGACATGAAGCGTCACTTCCCTCTGAAGCTTCAGAGTAAAAGCGCCGTTCACGAGGGTTAGCATCAAAGTAGCAAACTGCGAGATTTTCACCTGCCAGTCAGAAAGCATTTCACCTGATACCACTGGAATTTCAACTAAATGTCAGTCTGCAAGTCACTCATAGTGGATTGAAAAGTATAGTAAAAACACATTTTATCCCCATTTAAATGCAAATATTCTGATTTGTTTCAGGGAAATTTCAAAAATTGTAATAGTTAAATATGTTTCTGTAATATTAAAGTAATATTACAGAAATACAGTAAAATTATCATTTTACTGTATTTCTAGTTACCGTATTTTCTGGACAATAAGTCACTCCGGAGTATAAGTCTCACCAGCCAGAAAATGCTTAATGAGGAAAAGAAACCATATGAGGCGCTCTAGAGTATGTCACACCAGCCTGCTAGAGTGCCCTCTAATGGTTGTCAGTGTGAAAATAATGAACATGAACATTTTCAGTGGTACAGGAGTAGCAGATATTGGTACACAAGCCTAGAGTGCCCTCTAGTGGCTCTCAGTGTGAAAATAACAAACATGAACTTATATATTTTAATATATAAGTCACTCCTGGGTATAAATTGCAAATCCAGCCAAAGGATGAAAAAGAGTGCGACTTATAGTCCAGAAAATACGCTATGTTTGTCTTTAATACCTTTTCTCATTTGATGTTTAGTTTTTTGTTAGACACAGTCTTAGCTACATTGGATACATTTTAGTTTATTAAATTATATCTGGTGGTGCTTTGGCCCAGAGGCAATGTCTCTGTCATTGGTGTGGACCCCCAGGCTTCACCTCCAAGTTCGAACTCCGGTTAGGGTGGTTGGTACCTTCCAGTGGACTCACCACCCGCAGGAAGGTGGTGCGGTGCAGTGTGATTTGAGTGGCGGTCATGGAGACTGCTGCCCCCGTTACCCAGTAACGGATAAGCAGATGAAAATGGATGGAAGTTATATCTGAAACTTGGCCTAAAGTGATAGCAGCTTTTGACTGTTTCAAAACTCACCTACGGAATATATCACAAATGGCCTAAAGCTAAATGTTACAACACTGAAGTTGTGTTACCCCAGGTACTATTAAGCCGATGTCAGTGTAACAATATAGCAAACATTTAGCAAAGAAGACTTAAGAAACACTTGGAAACAAAAACCCAAACTGCAAAAGTTAGCTCAAATCAGAGACAAACAAATTGTGTAGATAAAAATATGAAGTCAGAGAGAGTGTTTGTTTTAGTGCCTCTGGCAGATGTATCAGACATTCAGTCTGTAGATTTTAAGGTGAGTCAGAATAAGGTGTTGTTGTTTTTTTCCCTGACTGCAGTTTGTAGAGGTTTGTTGACCCTGAGCTGCAGAGACAGCTGGAGGGAAAGCAAGTACGTATTTATAAGAAATAATCTGCATGTGTGAAAGTCTAGAGGTCAGGGTAATCGACATGTGAAGAGGAACTGGT